TACTTTCTGTGCCCACCACTTTACCAAGTTTGTTGTTTTTGAAGGTCACTTGTGATTCCAAACTGTCAAAGCCAGTAGCAGTGCTCTCCTTATCCTCTGTGATGGTGCACTGGCATACTTCTTTGACCACTCCAGCTGCTTGCCCATTCAGTTTCCTTTGCTGGTTCTTCTTCCTCATCCTACCCCTTGCTGGGTGATCCACAAGTATACTTCAAAGAATCCATTTGTCTCCCTCACTAACTTCAAATTCAACATATCCCGTCTCAAACTTATTATCTCCACCAAACCAGCTCCCCTTCTCACCTGCCCCAGCTATGTCAATAACTTCCTCCAAGTCACCAGGCATTGGAGTTATTTTTTATTTTCTTTCCCAAATTCCAACCACCAAGTTCTCTCTACTTTTCTCTCAAAAGGTGTCACATATTTATGAGCAAATAATCTGAAGAGAACACATGAGGAGCAATTCAAATATCAAATAAACACATGAAAAAATTTTAAACTAGAATAATCAAAGTAAGCAAATTAAAATTGTAGTAGGTACCATTTACATCTATTGCATTAGAAAAAGAAAATTTTCCATGATGGCAAGATTTTGGGCAACTGGTATCCTCATAAATTGCTAACAGCAGTGTAAACCACCTCCTAGCAAAGCAGTTTGGTGAAATCTATCAAGTACAATAAGAATGTTCATATTCTTTTAACTAGTAATCCCAACTCTGGATAATTGTTTTAATGAGATAGTTCAAAATGAAAAAAAGGTTATAGCTACACAAATTTTTCTGCAGCAGTACTTTATAATAGAAAGAAATTGGAAACAATCTTAATTATCCAACAATTTGAGAATGATTAAGCAAATTAGAGCACATTGAGCTAGTGAAATATTATGCAGCCATTAAAATTTATAACTATTGAGGAAGCCTGTATAGTAAAATGAAAAATTGTTCACCAAGTAATGCTTAGTGGGGAAAATAGAAGCAGGACTAGCTAAAAGCTGTCAGAGAAATGAAAACAATCAGAGTGTTACAGTGGTAGGACTAAAGCTAACTTTTCTTGTTTTTAATTTCCTATTATATTGTTTTTATAATAAACAAACATTTCCCCCAAAATATCACACACATTTATCTATTTCTTCTACATCACCCCACCTTCCCAATCCAGGGCCACACTGCTTGGATCACTGCCCATAATTGGTCTCTATTCAACCCTTCTAGTCTGCAAATGCTGCCAAGTTGTCTAAAGTGCTACATTTACCATGTCATTTATCTTCAATTGCTTCCACGTTTGTGATCCTATCTAATTTTTAAGGCCTACCTATCTTCAATCAATACTTTGCTATTTGCCCTTTTTTTTCCTCTACTGTTACTGCTGCTGCTCTTCTTTCCTTTCCTCTTCCTCTTCCTCACTATCACAACTAACATTTAATGGGGGTTTATGGTGCCAGGTTGTGTTCTAAATGCTTTACACATATTAACTCATTTCATTCTCACAATAATCACATGAGGTAGGCACTTCAGAAATAAGAAAATCAGTGAGGCAGGGAGAGATGGGGGAGGGAGGAAGGAGGGGAGGGAGAGAGAGAGAGAGAGAGAAAGGGAGGGAGAAGGGGAGAGAGACTTCACAGCTGGAGAATGGAAGAAGCTGGATTTGAACCCAGGCAGACTGACTCCAAGGCCAGAACCCTTAACCCTTAACCAGTCAGGCTTATTCCTCTCACACACCCTTCTTAGTCTCCCCTCTGGTCCTTTCCTCCTGTAGGTCCCAACCTCCAGTGTTCTTATCTTCCAATAAACTTAAGGCACAATAATACTTATCATTTATTGGACCCTTGCAGTGTGCCAAGTGTTTCTTGTTTAAACCATGTGCTTGACAAGTCATCTTATAGCAACTTACAGCAACTCACCTGAGTAAGCAACACTTGACTTGTCCCTTTAGTAGCTGTGAGACCTTCAGTAAATTATTTATTTTGCTTGAACCCCAGATTCTTTATCTGAGTCAACAGTTCTCAAAGTGTGATCCCAGGAGCAGCTGCATCAGCATCACTGAGGGGAGCTTGTTAGAAATGCACATTTTGAGCCCCACTACACACCTACTGAATCACACTCACTGGGGGTGAGATCTACCTATCTCTCTGTGTGTGCTTAACAAGCCTTTCAGGTGTTTCTAATGCACATTCAAATTTGAGAACCATCACTCTAGCTATAATAATACCTACCTGACAGAGTTTTGGGGACAATAAAACATAACATATGTAACTTAGCTCGTGGCATGTAGGTTGTTTTGCAAATGGTAATTTACTATTACTGCTACTTAACTTTGTGTGGCTTAGTCAAGCATTGGGTGGGCAGGCATTATGCTTCCTGTTGCTCTTTAATATTTCCTTGCTTGTGTAGAAAAAGGCAGTATATACACGAAGTTTTAAATAAAGTCTTCTTACTTCACTAGCTGATTGGTAAGAGAACCATCTTTGGAGAAGCACTATAGGGTAGTACAGCAGGTCCTTGAATAACATCACTTTATTTAAAGGCATATTGTTATAACATTGATGAGAAGAGAAAAAACAAAAAAGATTCTCAGCCAGGGCCACTATGTGTGTGGAGTTTGCATGTTCTTCCCATATCTAGGTAGGTTTTCTCCAGGGACTCTGGCTTCCTCCCACATCCCAAAGATGGACATGTGAGGTGAATTGGTGTGTCTACATTGTCCCAGTCTGAGTGAGTGTGTGTGTGTGTGTGTGAGCATCCTGAGGTGGAAAGGAATCCTGTCCAGGGTTCCCTCCTTGCTTCCTGAGCTGCCAGGATTGACTCTGGCCAACTACGACCGTGAACTGCAATAGGTAGTTTGGAAAAAAATTAACTTACTTTCTATTAATCTTTCTTAAATATACCTATAGCTCACATTTACTTCAATGTTTAACATTAGAAGTGTTTTGGGTCCTCATTCAGAAATATGGTGATGATTTTGTGACCAAAAATATGCCATAGGAACTTAATTCTTGTTTATATCAATTAGCTTATGGTAAAATTGGTTTCATTCTGTTGTTTTGCTTAAATCTGCAGTTTCCAAGAACCTACTGATGATGTTAAGTGAGGACTTACTGCAGAGTGTCTCTGAAGTAAGACTACCTGGATCTAGTCAACTTACTATCCATGGGACTTTAGGCAAATGAATTTATTTGTGTGTGCTTCAGTTTCTCTTCTCAAGCAAGTGGGGGAGATTAATAGTACCTACCCTTTGAGGTTATAGTGATAAATAAATGCTTTGAATGGTGCCCAAGTAGAGCACTGTGCTCAAGAAATGTTAGTTACCATTACTATTTTTGTGTCATTTTACCCATTCAATGGTGGAGGCTCTGTTTCTTCATTTGGTAAGCAAATAACAAATACCCCTGAGCAACTTCTCCATGCTAGGCATAGAGAGTAAGTCTATGGCCAAGGTGTGGTCTCCTCTCTCAAAGTTTTCAGTCTAATATGGGAAACTCTACAGACCCACTAGACTGAAACAAGTTCTCCAAGGACATGGTATAAGCCAGTTCACTGCGAGGAATCAAGACCAGACACAGAATCCCACATTATCCCCATCCAGGCCAGACTCCTGAGACATGATGCTGAGTGATTGGTTTGAAGGATTTCTTTAGGGATATTAATTGGAGCAGTTATGGTGGAAAATGCATGAACTCTGGGGCCAGACAAACTTGGGTCTGAATCCTGGTTCTATCACTTATACTAGGTATGTGACCTCAGCTAAGTTACATAACCTCTCTGGATCTCATCTATAAAATAAGTAGTAAAAAGTGAACTGTTGTGGAGAATTAATGAGATTTTGAGTATAGAAAGATCCAGCCTGGTGATTGAAACTTAGTAGATAATCAATAAATATTGGGTTCCTTCTTTTTTCCATTGCCAACCAGAAAATTGATAGGTTTCCCAGGCTTTGGAATCAAAAGAAAGCGTAAATTATTCCTGGATACACCACCAAATCATAGGGGATAATGTAGAACCCCCAGAAAGAATCCTGGGCTCTTCAGGGATCATGAGACTCAAATTCTAGTCCTCTCCTTTGATGTCTTTTCCCTAAGTGCCCCAACAGAGGGAAAGCTAAGAGCTTTCTTTCCTATCCCTCCTTCATTCCTGGAGTTTGAGTTAAAGAATCAATATAATTTAGGAGCTTCCTGTATAATTAGGCCTGGAGAAGAACTGACTAAAAGAGTCTATCAAGGAATTTCACAAAAGAGAGGGCCCAGCCAGGCTGATATAGAGCAACCCAGAGAAGGTAACTGTTACTCCTTATGGTCACCTATGACTGGCAGGTTCATCTCTGGGGAACATGAGTCCTGGGTGCCATGCTCCCCACATTATAGGAGCAGACTCCATCCTGGGCCTTTTTTTCCCCTTAAGGTCTTTGCCCAAACAACTATTTTTCCTATAGCCCAAGCCATATATGCCATTTGTAAAAATGCTCCTTCTTTCTTTCAAGAATTTTAACCTATTGTTAGCATGAGCTGCCCTTGGACTTTTAATGAGCAGACCATAAGTCCTTAACAAGCCCTATAAAAAGAAAGGTGGCAGAACCCAAGAAACAAGTATCTTCAACAACTCTGAGGCAAAGGTAAAGCAGTAGCAAGACAGGCTTACCTCTTCTCTGCCCCCTTGAACTTCCCAATGGCCACTGGGAAGGCAGGCATAATTTATGCCTTCTCATGGTTTCAGCATGGTCTGGTCCCACATGTCCTTGTGCCTGGGCCTCCCTCAGGCCTCTGAGATGATGGGCACAATGTCCCACAATACTGCCTGAATACTGTGTATTCCAAAACATCCTAGCAATCAGTTTGGTCTGTAGCCCAGCTGCCTGGGGGCAGGCTGGATGATATCTATGGCATCAAGCCCTTGGTGTAAACACCAAATCAGGTTCCTCAAAGAAAACTGAGCAAACAGAAGACCTTACCATTTCTATAGAAACCTCAGAGGCTGCAACTCACCCCAACACTCTGAACAGCCACTTACCTCCCTGACTGGCTGGTCTTCCTGTTTCCTGTTATTGGTTTCCATTTGTCCCCAGGAAATTCCTGCAAAGCAAAATTTTGATAAGTTAGAGAGCTCTGAGCAGTCAGGTATCTAGATGGCCTAAAAAATGTGAAGAGTTCAGGAACCTGTCCCAGCCAGGTCCCCCACTAGTTTCTTCTATTCTCCCATGCAAGCTAGGGAAATATGTGCCTGGAGGGCTGCCTTTCTGTCAGGAGACCTGCTGAGTTGCTGGGGGCATGCAGAGACTAAGACAGCACTCAGGGACTTGGGCAGTGTAGCCTAGAAACTCTGAGTTTCCCTCTCTTTCTCCACTCCCCTGCCAAACCACGTTAAAAACTAGTTTATCATGTTTGCTGTTTGCTCTGGATCTTGCAAAGGACGTCTTTTTATTTGTTCTGCCTGGTGAACTTGTTCTTTCCTTTTTACTCTGCCAAAATAGAAAACATCTTCTTGAAAGCCCTGGCCCTTGAGGGGCCTTTGAGGACTAAAGCTCTTACTGCTTCAACCCTTTCTCAGAGTGAGACAGAGGGAGATCATGCATTCTAGCACACTGCTGTACTCAGGGGCCCTTCCCCCTCCTAGATCTGCTGGCAGGGGCTGAGGTGGGCTTACCTCTGGGAGCCTGTGTGCTGGGTGCCATGTTCCCCACATTACAGGAGTATATTCTTCACCCTGGGCATTTTTTCCTTAAGGGCTTTGCCAAAGCAATGCTCTTCCCCCTTCATGTGTGCCATTTGTAAAAATGTCCTTACCTTCCGATTCTAGCTCCAAACTTAATGCAAATTTGCCTTTGACATTCTCCTTGGTTTTTCATTCAGTACCTTCTATCTAGAAATCAGAGCCTAGCCCAATGGGAATGCACAGTTGTTCCTAAACCTCACTGATCTTCCAAATTCCCTCTTTCTCCAATGCGATTATTGGTCCCATTCAAAGTTTTATTACCTTTGCCCCAGTTAAATAAAAATTACTCTCTTTTGGGAATAAGACATCTCATGTCAATCATACTGGCTAAGACACTTAATAGCTGTGCTATTTGAGAGGAGTTATGTCACCTCCTTAAACCTCAGATTCCCATCTGGCAAATAAGGACTATGTTATCTAGCCTTGCTGGGTTTCCAGTCATGGGGATAAAATGGGATGCACATAGAGAATGCCTATACAGTGATCAGCACATAGGAGGCTTTGGATGTTAGTTGCCATGGAAAGGATGAGGTTTCTCAGCTTTTACAGGGTCAGAGCAGTCCCTGCCTGAAATGTAATGTTAGAGCAGCTCTAACCACTTGTTAGATTTTAGACTCTGCCTTGACACCCTTGTGAGATGTCCCTCCCCTCAAAGACATATTACTTGTTCAGCCACAGTGGGAGCCAGGATTTCCTGTCCATGCCCTGTCTAGCCCTATTGGAAGTGCTCAGTAAATAACAGTAGCCAAGCCAAACAAAGCCCTGTTCCAACTCCCAACCTCCTTCGCAGATTTACTTTTCTCCCTGAGCCACTTAGGTTGCTGTAAATTGCCTGCACCCTTTGAACCAAAGAGGCAGTTACCGCATGGCTTGGTGCAGATGGGGATTGACTGTGGTGGGGACTTGCTGCCCCAATGGAAGATATACTGCTAGAAGGCATCCTGCCATACTGGAGAGAGCCTGGGCTTTGCAATCAGCATATGGAGAAACAGTGTAATATTTAGGAGTTTGGACCTGAAGCTGAACTTACACGGATTCAAGCCCCATACTTGCCCTTTACTAGCTATGAGACCTCAGGCAAAATACATAACTTATCTTTATCCCATTTTCCCCAGCAATTAAATAGTGTGATTGTGATAATAACATTACCTATTTCTTGACTGCTTTGAGGACTGCGTGAGTTGATACATATAAAGTGCTTAGAATAGTGCCTGGTACACAGTAGACACTCAAATGTTAGTTATCATTGTTCGGATCCTGGCTTTGCCACTTGCTAGATGTGTGACCCCTCTGAGCCTCAGTTTCCTCAGCTGTAAAATGGGAATCCTATTGTAATGTATCTCATACAATTGTTAAATGAAATAATCTGATAATATATGGAAAACTAACTGGCATGAAGTATGAGGGATGTAGTAAGTATGTTCTGATTTTAGTTCTCTGAACAGCACCAAACAGGAGCCATATACCTCTCCAACATCTTCCATGGGCCATAAGGGGAAGGATATCAGCCTTACTTCACACAGTCAACATCACAACTACCTTAGTCATATGAACTGGGTATCCTAATCCGTGCTACAAGTTTTCCTCATGTCTGGGGGTGCGGGTATGTTCAGGTGGCAGGGGTAAGAATGGGCATAAAGTGGCTCTTAGATGGTTATCCACATGTCTGAAAGCTTAGTGTCTAAACAGACCTGTTTAGCTAGTCTAACAGGTATTAGGAACCCAATGTGTCCCTCCCTCAGAGTGCAAAAGGAGACCTGCATTGCTGCTGCAGATTGATGCACCCTGCACATTTCACCTCCTTCCTTTACAGAATTATTGGCCCTGGGTTAGCACTTCTGTAGCTATCATCTCTTTAACCCCCTGCTCTGCCCCCCAACTTCAGTCTCCTTTCTCTACTGTCTACTTGCAGGTTCATTTTTCAGCAGTTTCTCAAGCTAAGCCAATTTCTCCCCTTATTTTAAAAGATAATAACTCACATTTATAAGATGACAGTCACTGTTTTAAGTGCCTTACACATGTTACATCATTTAATTCTCACAACCAACTTATGAAGTAGGTACTGTTATTACCTCCATTTAAGTGGGAAAGCTTAGGAATTTGAACTGTCTGATTCTAGCATTAATGTCCCTAAACCATTATTTTATATTTACTTGCCTCTTTTTTCAATATTTTATTATGGATATTTTCAAGCATACAGAAGAGTTGAACAAGTTTATAATTAACACACATATATCCACCACCTAGATTCTACAATTAATATTTTACCATAATTGCCTTACTACATATTTCTCTATTCACTCCTCTATCCATCCACCATCCTATCTTAAATTCTTGATGTATTTCAAATTAAGTTACAAATAACTTTGTCCCCATAAAATTAAAAGATTAAATGAAATGGACAAATTCCTTGAAAGACAAACTACCAAAACTCATTCAAGTTAAAAAAACTTTCCACAAAGAAAACTCCAGGCCCAGATGGCTTCAATGATGAATTCTAACGTTTAAGGAAGAAATAATAACAATTCTATACAGACTCTTCCTGCACATGGAAGAGGAGGAATACCTCCCAGCTCATTTGGTAAGGCCAGCACCTGGATATAAAAACCAGACAAGAACATTATAACTACAGGCTAAAATCTCTGATAAACATAGACACAAAAATCTTTAACAAACTATGAAATAATCAAATCTAGTAACACATTAAAAAGATAATATGTCATGACCAAATGCATAATGATAGGCTGGTTCTTGTTTCAAAAATCAATGTAATTCATCATATCAGTAGACTAAAAGAGAAAAACTATATAATCATCTCAGAAGATATAGAAAAAGCATGTGAAAAAAATTCAACATCCACTCCTGATAAAAGCTCTCATCAAACTAGGAGTAAAAGGGAATTTCCTCAACCTGATGAAGGGCATCTAAAAAAAACCTACAGCTAACATCACACTTAATAGTGAAAGACTGGGAACAAAGCAACAATATCTATTCTCACCACTTCTATTAAACCTTGTATTGGAGGTCCCGGACAGTGCAATAAGGCCCCCCTCTCCCCTAGAAAAGGCATACATAGTGGAAAAAAAGATTTAAAATTATTTCCATTAGCAGATGATATAATTGTTTATATAGAAAAATCTTTTAAAAATCTACCATAAAGCTACTAGAACCAATAGGTGAGTTTGAAAAGTTTACAGGATACAAGGCCAATACAAAAAATTGAATTGTATTTCTGTATAATAGTAACAAATAATTTTAACTTGACATTAAGAAAAACAATACTATTTACAATAGCATCAAAAACATGAAATCTTAGGGATAAATACAACAAAATATTGCAACATTTATTTGCTGAAAACTTTAAGTTAGACAACCAATAGACTTCAAAAACTTCAGCATAACATCATTAAATAAAGCTCCATATTTGTTTATAATATTTTAAGGCAAAATTTACTTCCAGTGAAATGCACAAATGTTAAGTGTACATTTGTCAAGTTCTTATGAATGTATATACCTGTGTAACTCAAACTCTTATTCAGATAGACAATAGTGAGTGGAAGGCCTGGGAAGGGGGCGGGAGTGGAGTAGAGGGGGTCAATGGGGGAAAAAGGGGTGACATCTGCAATATTTTTTAACAATAAAGATAAATTTAAAGATAAAATATTTAAAAAAGATATAGAACATTATCATCACCCAACAAAATTCCCTCATGTCCTTTCCCAGTCAATCTCCATGCCACCTCCCATAGGCAACCACTGCTAAGAATTATTTTTCCATAGAATAGCTGTTTTAGAACTTTATATAAAAGGAATAGTAGAATATATACTCTTTTGTGTAAGGATCCTTTCACCCCTAAGCTTCCTTTATTCAAAGAATATGTACCAAGCAATTTCATACACCAAGTCACCCAGAAATATCTACCTATGTAACAACAGTTCAAGACAGAAACTAACTTCTGGTTTGAATGAGCCAGCCAAAAGGTGGCACTAAGAGAGTCATAGGGAAGGAATCTGATAGTGAGCTGGTAGGGACCTAGGGGATCCTCCCAGAAATATACCCTGGGAGATGGTGGTGGTTTATGACAGGGTGGTAGGTCATAACCAGGTAGGTCACAACAGCCAGTCTAAACTTGGGTCTCTGACAGAGAGAGAGACTGGAGAAGAGGGGTAAGGAGTCATCCTTTAGAAAAACAGACAAGTCAAATCTCTGAAAGCAAAGTCTGGGGGACCGTTTGCAAATTTTGGAGTTCCAAATAGTTTTAAATCAGGAAATGGAAGCAAATACATGCTGTTTTGTATCAGGTACTGGGACTGACACTCTATATACAAAATCTCATTTGATCCTCACAACTGATTTATGAGGCAGCCATTATTTTCCTCTACTTTAGTGATGAGGTAATAAGAATTTACTTAGTACTGGGCATTTTATGAGGTAAAAATCCATTTATCCCTTTAAAAATCACACAACTGCAAATTTTGGTGGTAAATGACTTGCTTAAGGTCACTCAGATACCAACTGTACGGTTAGGTTATAAATCCCAGTTCTGTCCATTTTGTGAAGCAAAAGTTATTTTATTCTAACTCTAAAGATGAGATAATTGCAATTTTGGTGGCTGAGTGTCCTGCCCAAGGTTAGTAAACTACCATGTAGTGGAGTAAGGACTATATAGTTTTAAGAAATTATAATTGTTATCTTTTAAATGATTCACCTCACTTTCTCCATAGAGAGAATAGTGAAGCTCACCCATACAAGAACCAAGTCCTCACCTGCACTGTCAGCTTCCTGGGTTTCCAAGCATTGCCAGGTACCAAGCTGCTGTCCTCGAGGGTACTGTGCTGGGGATTATGGTAGCAAGCTGAACACCGAATGCATTGGTGGTGGTGGCACCGGCAGTTGTAGCAGTTTGGCATCATATTTCTCTTTCGCAAAGCAGGGCAGATTTCCCCAGAACAATAGATGCAAGGGTCATGCACTACAGCTCCCTGGACACTGCAGGAGTAAGAGCAGGTCCTGTGGTAATCAAAATCACCACAGTGCAGTGGCTTACAACACATGGATTGTTCTAGACCTTTGCTTGTAAAACATTCTGAATAAGTAGGAGTTTCTGACTGATGGGGTGACATGGAATGATACGACTGGTCTGTGGCATGATATGGTTGGTCCGTGGAATGATATGATTGGTCCATGGGATGGTGCCTCAATTCCCTATAGCTGGAGCTCATTGGCTGGAAATTTTGTTCTATAGGTTTTGGTCTCTGGGTAAATGTCTTATTACTATGAGTGGTTAAACCTGGCAAATGAGATGTAGATAGGGATTTGCTACTCTCTTCAAAAAATTTTCTTCTGTCTGCAAAGGGCAAGAGGATGGCTTCCTCCTCAGCTTGGGCAGTAGAAGCCTTGTTATCTCCTGGGTTGGAAGAGTTTTCCATGGCTGGTGCGACATGTGGCTGCAGACTGTGCTCTGGAGACCATCGCCAATGACCTCCACGGACTCCATGGTGAACATTTGTTTTCTCAGAGTCTGAAGATGGGTCAGATGCTTTCCACCAGGTGTTCAGGCCCAAAGAGGATTGGCCAGGCCTCCGGCCAGGGCTCATTCGTCCCTCCAAGCCTGCCCTAGATTCATGGCTCTCCAGGGCTTGGCTGAGGCATTCTGAAGACCTAGCCCTAAGCATCATGCTCTTGTTAAAGAGCTTGTCCCTGGGGCTAGGTGGTTTTTTATATGAAGGTAGAAGAGGTGAGTTAGAAGCAGGAAGTAGAGGACTTTCTAGGGGCTTCTCAGTCTCTTCCACTTGCTCCTTAGTGTCACACAGCTGTGATAAGGGACTCTTGCTTTTATGGAGCTGGGCCTTCCTCCTCTGAATTTCATTACGCAGGTTGGTAGCAAAACGCTCACTCTTCCGCCGATTTTGGATTGAGCGGCCCCGGGTCCCTCCATTTCGCCTACCACCCACCCGGCCACACTCCTTGGGCTCATTGTCTCCTTCTTCAGTTGCCTCTGTGGTGCCAGCTACTTTAGTGGTTGAAGAACAGTCCCTGGTTTGTTGAATAAGAGAGCCAGAGGCAGAGGGCTGCTGGTTGGCCAATTCATTGCCTGCTCTGCTTACTCTGTTTGGGTCTTGGAAACCTCTTTCTGGAGGATGTCCATCAGCTTCCTCGTGGGCGGAGCTGCTTGGGCTCTGGTGCCCTGAACCCATAGGCCTATCATCCCCTGGCCTGGTCTTTCTCTCTTTGCTGGGCTGGTCCTGGGTTCCTCCTGCAGGGGAACATGGACTTTTCTTGCCTGTGTGACTACTGTGCAAAGGGGACAGAGTCCACTCGTGCCCATCCTGTCCAGTTGGGAGCTCCATCCCCTTGCTACCCCTAGTATCAAGGTGCACATGCTGCAAGTGGGATGCCAGCAGCTGTTCAGGGGCACTATGACGATGGCCTGTGGATCCTGTGAGGTGTGGAGGGCTGCCAAAAGAAGTCTTAGCTAGCTCTGTTGAAGCCTTGCTGAGTGGGCTGGAATCTATGCTGGAAACTTTGTCATATGATTTTTGGAATCCAACAGCATTGGCTGAGGCCTCCATCAGTAGGTGCTCAGAACCTTGCTGGTTGGATTCAGGAGGTTGACTGAGCTCACAGTTCTGATGGCCCTCATTTTTCACTTGGTCTTGCCCACTGAAGCAGCAGAACCTGTTTGGGTTCCTTGGGCATAGCTCAGTGTTTAGGTTTGGTTTCTCCTTCTGTTGCAAAGAGTCCATGGGCTCAGAAGACCTGCGCTTCTCTCCATTGAAAAACTGGGCTCTGGAGGCCTGAAGACTGTCTCGCCTCACTGGAGGTTGTGGTGGGCCCTTGGCAGCCTTGGCAGGCCCCGAGTGGTGGACGTCCTGTGGGCGGGATGACATCTGGGTACTGGGAGTCAGCTGGCCCCCATTGGTACGCCGGCTACCTCCTGAGATCTCAGCCACATTAGGCCTGCCATTAGGGGCCTTAGTTAACCCTGGGCCTTGCATAATACAGTCTGTAGAGGCTGGCTCCTCTGGCCTGAGGGAAAGGGCACAGTCAGAGGCATTTGAGCTGGCTGAGAAGGAGCTGTAGGCTGAGTCACGCTGGTTGGGGTACATGTTCTGGTCAATGGGCAAGAGGTGACCTTCATAGGTAGCTTGGCCTGGTTGCTCCAGGCTCTCCATGCTGCCAATGGAGCTGCTTTTCTCAGTGCTGCAGTGTCTGGAGAGTGGACACCACTGCACACACACGTCACTGCAAGACACAGGGCATACTGATTAGTTAGCCAAATTACCAAATCCCTTTCCCACTGTGGCCTGCCCTGCCATGGGAGAAGGCAAGACAACCCAGAAGCACTCACGCCACAAATGAGAGTGAGATAAAGCAAGAAAGGAAATAAAGAAAACAGGGAAAGAGATGGACACTGGGACACCACAGTGATGTGGTAAAATGGGAGACATGACAGCATATGGAAGAAGGATGGGGCAAGATCCCAAAGACTAAATGTGTGAAAACTCCATTGGGGGTTATGCTCTGTTTGAAGTCAGAGAATCTAGAATTGCTTCTGACCTGTCACTGTCCTCAGGAAGTCAGCATAGGGCTTTCTGCCAGGAGAGACAATCACAGATTATTAGCATTAGAGAAGGGCCTTAAAGGTCTGATTCAATTTCAGACAGCCCATTTTGAAAATCAGTGGTTCTCAAATTTGAGCATGCATCAGAATCACAAGGAGGGCTTGTCAAAACAGGTTACTAGGCCTCCTCCCCAAAGTTTTAGGTCTGAGTGAATCCTGAGAATTTTTACTTCTAAAAAGTTGCCAGGTGATACTGGTGTTGTTGGTCCAGGGACCACAATTTGAGAATAACTGGTGTAAATCAAGTCCCACAATAGAAGTGATTTTGAGGAGGTGATTTTTCTCAAGATCACCCAGTTCTAGTTCTTTGCCCAGACAGAGCTGGAATTGAGGCATCCTCTGTTTTTTTTGTTTTTTTTTTTCTTCTTCTTGATAATAGTAATCCTGACCATTTACTGAAGACCTATAATGAGCCAGGACTTTAGAGTGTCTCATTTCAAACTTAAGGCAATAAATTATTATCTGCTGAAGCTTCAAGAGGTCAAGTAAACTGACAACCTCACAAAGCTGCTAAAGAACCAGAGGTACAATTAGAACCCAGGCCTCTATAAGTCCAATGTCTTAGCTCCTCTGCTATACTGTCTGTTAAATGGGAATATAGTAATATCTGCATCAGAGGGTTGCTTTGTGGATGCAAATAGATAACAAATGTAGATCTCTTGTCACAGCTCAAGCACCTAGCAAAGGTTCAATATGTGGTAGCTGCTGCTCTCTTGATTGCTGTTTCCATGGCTATTGTTATCAGCATCCTCTCCACTACTAGTATTGATAGTGTTGTGGCCCCTGCTCACAATGGTGCCCTCACCCCCCCATGGTAAAGCCAAACTAGAGAGACCAAGGAAGGGACTAGGGTAAGGCACAATCTTGAATTTTATGTACAATTTCCTACACACAAAGCCAAATTGAACCAAGTCATACCAGTAACTCCCTATGATTAGAACCCCAGAGGTTGCAGGCTGCTCTCAGAAAGGTCAGTTCAGAAAGTCAGAGCTGAGCAGTGGCAGGAGCCCATGAGACTTTCATGCCAGCCTCCCCTAATTTTGCTCCCTGCACCACCCCTTACTCACTCTGCTCACTTGACCTCTGGGCTGGAATCCTTCAACTCCTTGATGGCAAGGGGACCTGCTACCTACCCCAGCACCCTTCCTGCTGAACCCCACCCCCCCACACACACTCCAACAGGAACCAAGCTCAAAATGCGTTTCTGTGTATCCTTCTAGAACGAAATTGCCTCTGCCTCTGTCCTGAGCCCATGGCTTCCAATGCTAAATAAAGTCACTGAATGGGAGCAAACTCAATCCTTAGCTTCCCTGGGCCTCTTCAACAAAAATCCTTTCTTGAAGGGATGATCTTGTTGTGAGAGCAGAAAGGCAGCTAAGGCCAGCAGCTTTGCTGGCTCTGAGCTTGCTGAAGTAATTATCTGCCTCTTCTGGGCAGTTGTTTCAACAACAAACTATACCACACTATCTGCATTGAGAGATCCTCACCATAAGTAGACCCTATTATTCAGCAAGATCACATTCTGAAGGCTTTGGCTCTGTGACAGAGCTGATCAACACTGGATAAGATTGCCAGTGAGTCACTGTAGACAGGGAAGAGGAGCAGAACTGGATACCTGGGGGCCCTCCTACTTTAAGAGACCAAGGAGATGAAGAGGAACCATGGAAAGAGACTGCAAGGGAGAAGCCAGTGAAACAGGATGAAAAGCAGGGAAATGTGTCTTGCAAGCCAAATGAGTTAAGTATTTTAAGGAAATATTTTCCAGAAGGAATGGGATTGACCCAAAGTCACAGAGTTAGCTGCAGACTAGGACTAGAATGCAGACTGGACTACCATTTCATTTTCTATTATAGCACTCTGGGCTCTATAACATCCAACAGGTACTAGAGTAGAGGAGAAGGAGTGGTCATGTCTACCCTCCAGACCATCTTGAGAGGAGAGTTCTAGACTCACCTTGTGTTACAGCCGGAATGCCAGGACAAGCTGAAGGCTTCAGAAGGAACATGCATGGTGGTAGCCGCTTCAGGGCATCCCTCCAGCAGCTTGGCCACATGCCATGAGTGTGGCCTACTGACAGGGGCGTTTCTCCTACAGCAAGAAAGGGACAGGAAGTCAGCTTAGGGAACCAGAGCTGAAATCACTTCCCAGGCAGCTTCCGCCCCCAACCCCTTTTTCCCTAAATTGAAAGAACATTCTGCAAGGAGCTGGTATGGGAATCTTAGTGGCCCTCAGCTCCTAGTACTCAAATCCCTTTCATCCCAATGATTATCCCTGGAGAAACGAAATGTTAGCTTTACATGGCTATTGTGTTCATAGGTGTATCCCAAGCACATATAGCAATGCCAGACACAGTAGATGTTCAGTAATATTTGTGGAATAAACAAGTGTTGGTGATCAATGAACAGTGACTCTACCCTAAGTTGTCTTTGAGAAAAAAAATTAATATGGTCCATCTTCCCATTTTTCTCTAAGAAAGGAATAGGCCAGTGATTGAAAAGTTTCAACAAGTCAACACTGGGCTTCAAATTCTCCAATCTTTCCTTATTCATTTGATAAGCATTTGTTGTATGTTTACTGTGTACCATCTGTTTATAGCTTTGGTGATAGAGACAGGAATCAAACGTAGTCTTTGCCCTTAAGAGTTATAGATTAGTGAGAGAGACAATTATTCAAATAAAGAGTGGTTAAAGGCTGTGAGAGAGTGAAGGATAAGAGGTGAAACATCTGAGTATATAAGAAAAATGATGCAAAGGAATCCCAACTCCTGCCAGGCAAAATGGAAGAATGTGGTGAATGGTGTGTGCTAGGCTGACAGAGGAGACTGCTGCTCAGCAGAGCAGGAGTGAATAAAGGGAAACACGTCTGAGGCCAAGGCCCTAGATACAACCACAGGGTCTGTCTGGTGATGGAACCTGAAGCAACAACTCTTGAACTCACTGGCTTAAATAGGACCAATCCCTATCCTCTGGTATATTTCAGATGAATAGATGTCACCCTTGGATATAAGTAAGAACAGTATGGAGACGATCACATGTGGGGTATGGGTAGTGCCAGAAGATAAAGAAAACATTGATGAGAGAGAGAATTAGAGAGGAACAAAGGGAAAAGGGGGAGAATAAGGAGAGGGAGAAAGAAGGAAGGAAGGAAGGAAGGAAGGAAGGAAGGAAGGAAGGAAGGAAGGAAGGAAGGAAGGAAGGAAGGAAGGAGTTGGAAGGGCCAGGTAGATACTAGAGATGAGAGGGGAAGGTGATACAGAGAAAAACAAATCACAGAAAGGGAGAAAACCCTGACAATGATTATAAAGAAATAAATAGTAGAGAGAATTGGATGATAGAGATGAATGACAGAGTAAGAGCAACAGATGTAAATAAGTAGATGCAAATAAGAGAGGTAAAATGAATGATAGCTTATTTACTAATTTATGCAGTCATTTACTGTGGCAGGCTCCATACTAGGTACTGAGGGCACAGAGTTGAATAAGATAAGGGCCCCTGTTTTCAAGAAGCTGGTTATACAGTGGGATAATTCAGCAGAAACACAGAAAATCCAAGCAGTGCAAGGCTCTAGAGGGCTAAGGCCTAAAAATATAGTCCTGAAGAGAATGGCTTTGCTGGGAAAAGCATGGGTTGAGTGGTAACAGGCCAGACACAGACAAGGAGGTGTAAGAGGAAGGACAGGGGAAGCTGCTTGTCAAAGGTCAGGAACCAGAGTCATACAGGTCAGCAGCAGTGACTAAGATTTATGGGGAGGAAAGCCAGGTGAGGCCCCCATTTTTAACCACATTGTTCTATTATGGATGTTCTACAGTGGGAAAGCTGAAGGCTCAACAAGGCCTGGTGTAAGGGGGTGTACATGCTCATACACAAAGCCCTAATGCTAGAAATCTCATGAGCTGCTGTACCAGGTAGTCATCCATTAACAACTATTTATAAGGCATCTCACAGAAGTACAATGTACTGCTACAGACTGTGTACCAACTATGTACAGTACCCCCAGGCACTGAGGATACAGTGGAGAATGGGGCGCCTCTTATTTTGGGCTCTTCATCTACATCTAGGATTCCTGAAGTTCTTCTGGGTCCAGGGTTTAAAAGGTTAGCAATCAGCCTAAATACCACCTCCCCAACCAACAAATTTCTCAGAGTTCTATGGAGTCTTCTTTTATTATATCTCTCTGGCTTGCTCTCTCTCTCTCTCTCTCCCCTCTCTCTCTCTCTCATTATTTTCATTTAGACAATCAATTCCACATAATCACAATTCTCCTCCACAGAATCTACCACCAACACCTCCTGTTTTAGTCCAGGCTCTTAACAATTTACATCCAAAATACTGTCAGTCTGCCAGCCAGTCACCTGTTCCACCTCCAGTCACTAGTTTTAGATCATATCATGTCAAACACCAACTAAATTATAGCACTCTCCTATTCAAGAATCTTCACTGGCTTCCTGTTTCCTACTCTGTCCTGCATCAAATGTAAACTGGATCAGACTTTCCTCTATAAGCTATCTTTACCCACCCAGCCCAATTTCTCATGTTTCTGCTCCAGTCACACTCTGCAATCAACTTTGTGCCTTTGCTCATGGTTTTCCAGTAGAACTTAGCACAGGCTCTGGACTTGGACCACCTTGGTTTGAATCCTAGCTCCAACACTTATTAGCTCTGTTGCTTTAGATAGGTGACTTCAGTTCTCAGAGCTCTAGTTGCCACAGCAGCAAAATAGGGATAATAGTACCTAATTAATGGGGTTTGTAAAGAACAAATGTGACTGCATGCCAACTGTTTAGAACAGGGTCTGGTAAGCCCTCAACCAATTTTAGTTATTACTCTGACTGTTTTCTTTGCCTAGAAGGCCCCCTCCCATTTTGTTAATCTAAATTCCACCTGTTTTTCAAGGTACTGCTCAAGTACCATTTCCTTCAGGGAGCTTGTCTTTAGTAATCTAGTCCTCACAATTTAGCCCTTAATAATATGGTGTTTTATATTGCTCATCATTATTTCATGTATGTTAGTCTCATCCTACCAACTATACTGAGCCCACAGACAATAAGGCAAAAACAAGTGAGACAGATCTAGGTTCATATCTTAACTCTACCATTTTGGAAGTGTGAGTCTATGCAAGTCACTTAACCCATTTGAGCTTCAGAGCCCTTTTTTCATCTGAAAAGGGGAACAATAATCCTTACCTGGCTAGGTTATTGTGGGGATTAGAGATAATATTCTCAAAGCACCTGGGGCACAGCCTGATGCATAGCAAGTTGTCAATAAATAGGTACTATAATAAAGGTTAGCAGCTTAGACTTGTTCTTGATGGTTCAAGAGTACTCCCACCCAGATTTGTCCATCCACTGACAAAATTCTGCTGTACCACTCCCTTGTCACACTTTGAAAAGTAGCTTACAAAGGCCTTTACTCTCTCTAGGGTTTCTCCAGTAATGGGGGAAAAATCCCAAAGTAGGCATAAGCAAGGCAATGGGGGCTTTGGGACCACTGGAGGAAAAACTACAAGCTAGGGAAAAGAAAATCCCAGCAGGAGAATGCTACATATAGAGTCTAATATTTGGTCTATAATTATTCCTGAAGAGCTCTAGACTTAGTCTACACTTACATTTCAATCCTAGCTGTGTGACCTTGGACAAATCACTTTTCTGAGTTGTAGATTCTTTATCTGTAAAATGGGGAAGATAACCATCCCTTACTCTGAAGTTATAGCCTGAATGAAGTCCCATGTGTGAAATCACTCAGCATAGTAACTGAAATGCTATACAATTTAAAAAATAACAACAGGAACCATTTATTGAATACTTAAGATGCACTAGGCACTAAGCATTTTGCATGCATTAGCTGATTCAATCCTTACTCCAACCTTATTGATAAGAGCTATTATTATCCTCACTTTACAGAATAGAAAACAGACACAGAGAGCTGAATTGCTTTTACTAAGAGCACACAGCTAGTCACCAGCAGTTGGGAATGAGGCTCAGATACCTCAGTCCTTTCTAGGATACCACACAACTCCTCTTCCCCAAAGAGCAATCTGTCTCAAAAAGCTTGTATACCTGAGGCGTCTCCTAGCCATTCCCTTAAGAAGCAGTCAGAAAAGGAAACCAGTAGTCATAGAGTTTAAACCATCTTTAGTCAGTGGGGAAGTGGGATGAGGAGAAATAAGTAGAGAGGTAAGAAAATGGCAACAGCCTGGCCTGCGTGGCTCAGCAGTTGAGCATTTACATATGATCCAGGAGATTGAGGTTCGATTCCCAGTCGGGTCACATGCCTGGGTTGTGGTCTCGATCCCCAGTGGGGGGCTTGCGGGAAGCAGCCCATTAATGGCTCTCTCATCATTGATGTTTCTCTCTCTCTCCCTTCCTCTCTCTGGGGTCAATAAAGATATATTTTAAAACCAAAAAAAGAAAAAAAGAAGAAGAGAAAAGAGAAGAGAAGAGGAGAAGAGAAAGAAGAGAAGAGAGAAGAGAAGAGAAGAGAAGAGAAGAGAAGAGAAGAGAAGAGAAGAGAAGAGAAGAGAAGAGAAGAGAAGAGAAGAGAAGAGAAGAGAAGAG